TCAGTATGATAGATCTACTCTGCATCATGGTTCGATTTCGATTCGAGCTTGATGAAGATATCGAACTCGACACGAATTGGCCTCCCCGGGTTTGAGGTCAGTTTGTTCCACCTTAGGGGTCTTTCTTTGATAGATCATCCTTCGAACTCGATCGGACGTGCCAAGGCCGAAATCTATTTCGACCGTATACAGAGACAAAGTTCTGTTGGATCCACCAGGACCTTCCATAACCAACAAGTGGCACATCATACTTCCCCAAATTTCCAAAATTTCTCTTCGATTAGGATCGTTGTTGTAGCACCCCGAAAAATTTCGAAATACTTAAGCGCTATTAAGAAAGTTGATGTGTGCTAATTATATTATTTTATGTGCAGATGAGGACTATTAATATGATGTATATCAATTGGATATGATAATAAGTGTACGAGATATATTTATAAGTGATTTGGGGTCTAAGGAAAGCCCTAAATCTAAGTCAAGTTGGAAATTACATGATAGACTAAAGTTCCAAATGAGTACGCACAAGACCTAACTGTGGACAAGCATATATACATATATATAAAAATTTATATGATGGAGAACCTATCAAATGAAAGATCTTCGAGTCTAGTTTCTAACGCTTCAAACCGTTCACCATTTGGACACTTCTACAAGAAGTTACGATCAAATTACCAAAGGCTGACAGTGAAGTACTACCATAGTGTCCGGGCCGCATCCGAGCTTCGAAGAGGAGTGAACTGGGGATGCGAAGCATCCGGGGCCGCTTTCGAAACCCAGAAATCTGGGCCTATAAATACAAAATTGGGGGAAGAGAGTATTTTGAGTATTGGGGTTAGGGTTTTTGAGGTGAAGAGGCAATTTTAAACTCAAATCAAGTCCAATCAACTAAGGTAAGTTGCCAATGATCTTTTGGGTTGATTCTTACTCAATATACATGAGTTCTAACATCATTCTTTCATCCAAATACTAGATTTCATAATCAAATTCTCAAGAACACAAAAATTACCAAAGTTGTGATTTTTTCAAGATTGATCTACTAGAGGTAATTCTAATACTTCAAACTCGTTTATTTTGAGTAGTTAGAAGTATTTGAAGCATTTGTTACAAGTTTTAATGGTTGAAAGATTGGATTATAAAACTCTACTCCATGGCATGAATAGTACTTTTGAGAAAATAAGAGAAGATGAATAGTAATCTTGGCGATGAAATTAATAAATACAATGAACCTATGGAATTATTTGTTAGCAAAAGTTGAAAGTGATCAACTAAGTAATCACTTGAATTGTATATTTTACAAGTGTTGATTATGGAAGACGATGAATAGTTACTTGGTGGCATTGGACAATTGATGTAGTATCATTAATGACTTCGAATGGATAATAAAATATAAGAATGAAGTTTAATAGTCTAGCATGTAAATATATTTTGCGATTTGAGTTGTTGGAGTCTTGTAGCCAACTTATGAGCCATATATGGATATTGATCAATATCTTAGGTCATATTTTGATGTAATTAGGATATCTAATTGTAGATATCGACTTGTTGGTGGTGTTTGAGCATTTTAATCAGCATTGGAATGATGGAAGAGGATTAAAAACTTATGAATGTTAATAAAGCGAAAGCGAGGTAAGTTGATTAAAACTTACTCTTCTTGAGGGTCTTTCTCTAAAAGCATATTTCGAGCTAATACTTAAGTTATTTGCAAACGTGATTTCGTGCTTGTGGGGACAAACAAGTATGGATGTCTCCATGTAGAAAAATATTATGTTGCATGTATAGTGTCATGCTGTTTTATAAAATTTTATTTAAATCTTGTTGGCAAAATGACACTCAAGGTAAATGTTATAAGTTTTTATCAAAACTTTTGTATTGACAAGAGTATACATATTTGAGTACTAAAGATATATTTTCATGGAAAGTATTCCGTTTGAAAATTGATGAGCATAATAGCACTTGTGGTATCTTTTAAAGATTGATGTTAAATTGCTAAAGGCTTTAACATGTAAAAGGTTGTTTATTTAATTTTGTTTTTCAAATGGTTCGGATTTTTTTAATTAATGTTATGATTTGAAAAAAAAAAATATATCCTTGTTATGAATCTATTTTTGAAGTATCAAATGTTTTGGGAGTTACTTGTGCTCACCTTCGGATATATTGTGTTCGTCGTCATGAAATTAGACGTGCCGGTATAGGCGTAGATGGCCACTTTGTGGTATAAACTATGCCAGAGTGCTCTCCCTCGAGAGGGTACTATTTTGTGTTATTATTAGCATGGCTGAGTCGATTCGTATGGCACTACGACGAGATGACCTAAGCAAGTAGGGTATATTATACTTGCCGCTAGGTACATAACCTAGTTGACTTTCTTATGCCGGTGATGGTATAGTACTCCCGGTGAAAGGTAAGGATGATTTTTTTTATATTTAGGCCTAAGGAGCCGAAAGTGATTTCAATGACTTAAAGCAAATGGAAATGATTTTGCTTGATTTTATCCAAAATTCTTGGGTTGATATAAATGTTTTCAAAGTTTATATTGTGGGTTATATTTAACTTTTATTTGAAATGACAAGTATCATGAATTGATAAAATTGCTTATTGTTTTATATCAAATATTGGTGCATTATATTTATAAAGTTTGTCCCAAGAACTTAAGTTAGAGAGAGTCTATGATACTTATTGAGTACCGTTGTGGTGTACTCAGCCCTTAGGGGGCCCTCTCAAGGGCCCTGCTTATTTTATATATTTCAGGATGAGGTATGATACGTGGCATGCGATCAGGGCTAGGACGACTCTCTTCCTGAGGTATATGGTGAGGCACCACTACTATTTTGTGGTAGCTATCATGTTATTTTCTTAATTTATGCTAGTCGGGTATTATCCCACGTGTTTAATTTTATTCTTTGGTATAGAGGCTACATAGATAGTTGTGAAAAGTTATAGTAACGGGGTTGTACACGACATACATGGAAATATATATTTATTTTACTTAGTCTCATTGTTATTATCATGAAAGGCGTCATGGGTGATTTTGAATTGATAAATATTTTATCATTTAACTTGAAAATGCATATGATTTTCAATGAGCTTTCGCAGTGAAATTGATTTTCATGCATATGATTTGGGTACATCACATGGTTTGGTTCGCTCGGGTCGAATAGTGTGCCGGGTGCCGGTCACGTGGTTTTGGGTGATGACAGTTGCGAGTGCAAAGCTTTAAGGCATGTGTAGTGAAATATTCATTTGCATAGAAATTTAGAGTCACATTGGGGATTAAACAGTCTAGAGATCCTGAGAAATAAAAAATGAGACCTTATGAACGAATGGGTTAAGCGGGTCGTCATTATTTCTTTGGACGTTTTCGTTAAACACCTTGTCTATATTGCTTGAATTTTCATAATTCATGGCAGATTCAATAACAATAATAACAACATGTGCAGCTGGCTACTCTTCACAGTTGCTGATACAAACTGTCGCAACACTCTTTGTTATATATGTCTTCCATAGTAGTCTCCTCTGTTTTTGCATCCTCCAAAGACCTTCCCTGCCCAGTATCCACCCACTTGCAGTCGTGCAAGCCAAAATCATATGGAAGTGAACTAATAGCTCTACCACGACCACGAAAATTTGCAAAAATTTCCCTCTTTGGCAATATATCGAACACCTTAGCCAAACTCCATGTCAAGTTCTTGTCCGTAGCCTTTAAGTGGAAGACTCGGTCCCGTAATTGAGAATGATAGAGGTGAAGATTCAAGCTACGTTACGACAATATAAGCACAGGACACGTCGTCGAGAACCACTATTTTGGGGATTGTATCTCCAACATCAAGAACAGGAAATTGCGAATCCAGATGTGGTTTCACGATATTGGCCACCTTGGTGTTTGTATCGTCCAAAATTGAGTCTAGTGCAGAGGTAATAACTATAACATCTGAGATTTCGGGAGCACCAACGAATTTTGTGGAGTCTAATTGCATTTCGTGCAACACTAACTGCATACGGCAAATAGAATAGAGCATACGAGAGTTATTTTTTTGCATCACATTCACTAAATTATGTATGGTGTCGATAGAAGTATAGATCATGGCATAAGAGTCCAGAGGCGTGGAGTACGAGCAACGAGAGCACCAATGTAGTGGATCCATATTGTATTGACCAGAAAAAAAAATTATAAATCTAAAAGAAACTCTCAAAGTAACAACAACCAAATGAACAACTGAAAAAAGGAAAATGAAAAGACTTTTGTTCACATAACCCTACACTTCTATGAGCATAGTTATAGTAACTATAATTTCTATTGTCCATTAATTCCTTGACACATGTACCTCAACCTGGATCCCAATTGTAGCTCAATAACCTCGTGTTGGGCTATTTCATATTCTGATTCATGCGTAACTCATTCCCAGGCCCAAGTACTTCGTTGTAGTTTACCACGTTTGTAACAAAAAATCACATAATTTAAAAATAACGTAATAATATAAAATTTCTCATAAATTTTAGTAAAATCTTTATTTAAAGAAAGTGGTAAAAATGTTAGGATAGCCAACAAAAGGAACATAACCTCTGCTAATAATGTAAAATTCCTCATTAAAGTAAAAATCTCTACCAATAATGTAAAATTCCTCATTGATACGAGTATTTATAGCCTGTTTGGCAAAGATACAAAAATTAGTTTATTTTGATTTATTTATTTTTCTCAAAAGGACTTTTGGTGAGAAATAGTTTGTGTTTGACTAATTAATTTGAAAAACACTTCTAAGCAGCAATTGGTGTTTGGCCAAATTTTTTAAAACTGGTTCTAAATATATTTTTTTCAAAAGTACTTTTCAAAAAAATATTTTTAAAGAGAATTACTTTTTTTTACTTCTGCTCAAAAACATTATTTTTTCTTCCAAAAGCTTGCTCAAACACGTAAAAAACACTTTCTTTTAAAAAAAGTTTTTAGGAAGGGAGCTAAATAATATATTTTCTTGAACAGTACATTTGCTTCATTTGGCCTCACAAATCTCAACTTTCAATTTCCCCAATTCTTGCAAATCCCTAAATTTTACAGAACAAAATCAAAACTGAGGGGTTATTATCAGAAATGTGCCTTGCTCTGCTGTTTCGACTTAGTGACAATGGCACAAAAAGGCATCTCCTTCCCATAAATTGCACCAAATTTCAGCTCTTTTACTACTCTACAGCTCCAGCAAATGTTACAAACAGCAGCAATTTATTGGTTGATTTGCTAGTTAACTCAGTTGGATTCTCCAAAGAAAAAGCTATTTCTACTAGCACTAAGGTAACTTGCTTGAAACCCGGAAACAATAAGCCTAATTTAGTCCTTAGTTTTTTCAAACAAATTGGTTTACACAAAACCCAGATTAAAACCCTTGTTTCGGCATACCCCGGATTGTTATTTTCTGATGTCGACAATACCCTTAAACCCAAAATTACGGTTCTTCAAAAAGTTGGCTTATCTGGGTCGAATTTAACTAGAGTAATTACAAGAAGTGGCGCTTTGTTTCATACAAGTCTTGATACTTGTATTAGAAATCTTGATTATCTTCGAGAATTATTAGGTAGTGATGTCGATTCCGTAGCTGTGGTTATAAAAAGAGCGCCTTGGTTATTTTCTCGGAATCTCCCTAAAGTAATGCCACCCAATATAGTGTTGTTAGAGAGAGTAGGGTTTTCAAGTATGGATATTAACAAGTTTTTTCTTAATCGTCCGTTGGGTATGGTTCAAAAGACTGAGTGGCTTGAGAGCGTAGTGCGTCGAGTGGAAAAGGATTTTGGCATTCCTAGAGGGTCCCCTATGTTTAAACATGGACTTGAAGCTATTGTAAATTTTGGTGAGTCTACACTAAAGATGAAACTAGAGATTTTCAGGAGTTTTGGATGGTCGGACTCTGATATTCTCACAATGGTGCAAAAGCTTCCTTACTGTTTGACTGCGTCTGAGGCTAAGCTTAGAAATGGATTGAAGTTTTTCATGAATGAACTTGGATATAAGTCTAGTTATATTGCCAGTCACCCTACACTTTTGAAGCTTAGTTTGGAGAAAAGGGTCTTGCCAAGGAACGAAATCTTCAAACTTCTCAAGGAGAAGCGACTTTTAAGGAGGAGGCTATGTCTTTACACTGTCGTGTCATATCCGGAATCAAAGTTTATAGAGAACTGTGTGTTGCCGTTCAGGTATGAGTTGCCTGAGTTGTATGAGTTATATATGAAGAGTAAGGGCTAAGAGAAAATTCTTTTTAGTTGAGATGCTGGCACTAGACCATTGCTTGTTTCTGAGGTTTATCCACTTTTCCGATGATAATGTTTTTTTCATCTTCAAGCTCCAATCAAGAATATTGCTGCTATTCCTTTGTTGATGAGCCATTTATCAGCAAGCTTCCTTAGATTATTTTACTGCATTTCCGACGAGATGATAAGCAACAACATTATATTATAGATAGGCTCTTTCAAATAATGTTAAAACACTCTGCTGCAACACCTTTTTCAAAGCGATGAATCAATTTAAGTAACTCCCTAAAGACATACCTTCATTACTGATTGAACGAGACATCGTACTTTTGGAGTACAGATGCTAAACCCGTTCCGAACTTTGTCATCAGATGTTATGTAGTTCGCTCTTGTAAAGACATAATGCTGTTTCCTTTAGTCAAGATTGAGGTGTATCTTAGCCCTTGTCCAACTTCTTATGGTTCATTGGTTTTAGTACTATTTTTGTTCTGAAGCTTTCTATTTGAATTTTCTTAAATCTTGCGATTGATATTGTGTAAATGTATTCTTCTTCTGTTATTTGCTTCATGTTCCCTTCTCTAAGAGACAGAGATAGTACGTACACAAATGTGATACTGCTCAAAACAGGTAGATTGATCAAGTAGCCTTAAAATTCCTTCTTTATTGTATAATTGGCACATTTTTAACATTCATTCACCAAGGCATCTTATCTTGCCTTTTATTTATGGTTGTAATAGAATCTTTCTTTAACTCATTCATTTTAATTGAAATCTTTTAAATGATACACAAAAAGGCAAGATGCTCATAGAAAATCTGGTGCAATTGTTTGATTTCTAGAGATTCTTCATTTCTTCTGCCTGTAAGGTGAAACTCAAAGGCATAGACGATAGTAGTTCTAATTATGAGGTGACAGCTGCTCGAGTTGCTGAATTCTCTGGTGTTTGCACTTTGCACTGCTACTTCTTCTGTCATTAGACGATGTTTAGCGGTGGCGGATCTAGAGGCTAAGACGCGGGTCCCGGAACCTAGTAGCTTTGGAAAAGTAAAGTCCTAGGAGTAACTTTTTGGGGAAAAATCCAGTGTGCTGGTGTTGGGGAAGGAAGAAAAGTAGGATGGGATGGGGTTAAAAATAATTTAAAAATAAAAAATAAGTGAAAAATAACACGTGACAGAGCATGTAATACAATTAGTTCCGCTTCAATAGGGGAGGCAAGTGGGCCGCGGTTCCGGGTCGGTCCCGGTCCTTAAATAAACGGGCTTAGCGATCCCGGGTTAAGCGGTCTTTTTGTAGGAACCGGCCCGGGATCTGGCCCACGAACTCATGGTCCCAGACTAAATGGGTCGGGCTCGCGCGCTGAGTGGCCCAACGGCTAAGTTGTGATTTTAAAAAAAAATTTAGAAATTAGAGACAAAAAGATGTTAAAACAATATCTAAGGCAATGCCTTGTAAATTTATTATAGAATTGTGATCTAATTTTTTAATTCAAATTTAAAGATAAAAATATTATAAAAAGATATTCAAAGCAATGCCTTGTGTCACACCTCCTTTTTCCCGAGAGATAGGGAGTTTTTCCAATTTAAGTAACATTATTCGAAATGAGATTATTTATTTGATTAGAGTCGCCACTTGGAATATTTGTTATGGTGTCCCAAGTCACCGATTTATTTTAAAATCCCAAATCGAGGAAATTGACTCTTATTTATGGTCTGCGAACACAGAAGATCATGTAAGGAATTCTGCTAACTCGGGAGAAGGTGTTAGGCATTCCCGGATTTCGTGGTTTTAGCACGGTCGCTTCAATCATATCTAGTTTAATTGTTAATTACGTGTTTAAGAACCTATGTGTGTTTTCTCTTTTACCACTTTTAAATTATGACGTTATGGGTTTATCTTTGAAACGGATCATGTGTGCATGAATCCATTTTATTTGGGGCGCTAAAACGTGTACACGATTAATCAAGTTTTATTATACTTAAGAAGGATTGTTTGGCCAAAGTCGCGTGCACGCGTACCTTGATTTATTTTGGGAATCATAATTATTTCACGCGAACGTGTACACAATCACAA